AGACCATAATTTTTAAATTAGTTCCAAAAAATTAAACGAGGAAGTGAACGAAGTATAGCCCATGCAAGGAAGAGATAAAGTGCTTTGCTTTGAAGTCATCGCTTAGTTTCCGTCCATTATCTCAAAATTTGCAAGTATTTGGATATGAGCTCATATCGCATTTTTGAGTACTTGATCTCGAAGACATTTTGAGCTCGGATCATGATGTAGTGTAGATCTAGCTCGCTCGCGAGTGATGTGTAACTTACTAAGCGATCGAGGCATTACACCGGCACGGTATTGATTCAGCGAGAATCCCATTGAGATATTTGAGAAAATAACCTACAATCAAGATGATGGAGAGTATTTTGGAATTTTGAAACTTGTTCTAACGCTAGTGAGGAGAGCTAGATTTATGAGATTTGGCAGATTTGATAAAAAATAGTGTGGGCTTTGCACCTAGGTTGATCTAGATGAGGCTCACAAATGAATAAATCATGAGAAAATAGTAGTATTTGGAGCAAAACAATGAGCGAAAACGTTGTGATAAAATGATAGGAGAGAGGAGAATGAGCCCACACACGTATTGGTCTTGACTTGGCGAGGTGGATTGTAATGTGAACGAAAAAATATGACATGATTTGCGAGACTCAAACGACTGTGATAAGGGATAAGTTTAGCATGAAGGAAGTAAAATTTTGAGAGCGGATAAAAACGCTAAAACTCACTACTTGATCCTTGCCTACGAAAGGGCGGTCGCGGAGAGGGTAGGGTATTTCCATTTTGCTTTGTTGCCATCGGGAGTGATCCCGATGATGCCGGAGTCGTGCTTAGGAATAGCTTTCGTGGTGGTAGATTATGATGCAGACGAGTCTACGAGAAGGAACGTTGAGGACGGAGGCGATAGGCCGTCCGTCGATCGCTACGCCCCTGGGCGTTCGGTCGCTGCAAGAAACAAGCAGCAAATCAATGCTGGAAACATTGCTAAATCTGACCGAGTGATGGGAGGTAACGAGCCGGGGACAGTAAAACCTGTGCGGATTATCAAAAAGTAATTAAGTAATTGATGTTCAGCGAAAAAACTGCTCTGAAATGGCGCACAAGAGATGACGGCTCTCGACTTGAGTGAGTGCGAACTTTACTTCAACAAACAGGCAAAGCAAAACTGGATTGAGGAAGCGAGGAGCTCGTCGATGGCACACACAAATCCGATGTCACTTCGGTTGGTTGAATCAGATCGAGATACAACAAATAACAAAGATTTTATGTACAACTCTTGGAAAAGGCGGA